GGCCCTGCCCTCGCCGCGGGGCAGAGCCCGGCCGGACCCGGGCCGTGCGGAGGCAGGAGCGGCAGGAGGTGCCGGAGCCGGCTGGGAAGGCCTCGGCTGGGGCGCGGGTGTGGGGCTGGCGCTGCCATCGAGCCCGCACCGAGCCCGCTGGGACTTACCGGTCAGCGGGGTGCACACGGGATGCGGAGGGCTCCTGCTCACGGCAGGCCTTTCCCCGGAGCGCTGCGCAGCACGGCCGTGCCGTGTGCCTGAATTCATTCACCTCTTGGGCAGCAGCTGGCAATCGGGATTTGTTGGGGGATGAACAGGCCCAAGGCTTTCCGTGCACCGCAGCCACACTTAGCTTTCAGATGCTGTCTTGCAGGAGAGCCTCTTTAGGGAAGAACGTTGCCTCCTGAAATGGTTCCAAATGGAAAGGAATGGTTAGGTGTCATACTTGGGCTAAATCGGGCAGCAGTGAAATAACTCAGTGTGTATTGTTGCTGCTAGAACAGAAATGCTGCTCTGTGGGATTGGAACATCTGCTGCCAATGTACCCACCTGCTCTCCTCAGGTGATGGCGAGCTCCGTGCAGCTGTGTCCGTGTGACAGCACTGCAGAGCAGCAGCGTCATCCCCCATAGCAGTCCCTCATGCTCTCCAGCCAAGACTTGCTCAAGGAAAGGAAGTAAACCATTGTTTGCCTGTGTCACTTGGCTAGGAGATAAAAGTTTCCTCATTTATGTAGCTTCTCAGAAGGCTATACTGCTGTAACTCCAGCTAGAAGGATTGGTATCTCATGCAACTAATACTTTTTGGTTTTCCTGTCACTTTTGCCTATGGAGCCAAAGATTATTTCAGAGCTAAATGACACCTGGAGTAGCACAGTGCTGTTTGATTCAAACAGAGGCATGGAGATTTTTGTGAGTTTGTGAGAGAAAATCTGGGCCTTGCTTTTCTACTCAAACTGTATCAAATTTCCCATTAGCAGGAACGCTGGTTCCTAAATCCTTGCTCTCAAGGGTCCTGGAACAGCATTGAGTGGTTATGAAGGTGCAGTACACAGAGGAGGCTCTGCCTCTCGTCGTTAGCTCTCTCCTAAGCACAGATAAATGCCTTCAGTATTGTATAATGCACAAATACAGCCCCCTATTTTCCTACGTTTTGCTGAAATGATTTGAATTAAGAGGTTTAGAGCAGCCAATCATTGCTATAAAAGGCTCTGCCTAATGAAACCACGTGTGCAGTACACTTCCAGGTCTTCAGTTTGTTAGGAGCTAAATGTTTATTAGAAAACGGTACTGTTAATGCTCCCTACAGTCGCCTTGCAAATTAAATACCCCTTTCACAACACAAAGATAAGGAGTTCTATGGCAAGATAAGGTTCTTACCAGAATTCAGGAATGACAGAATCCAATTAATTTAACATGAATTAACGCAAGATCAAATTTATTACATTTGGATGCAATTTGTAATTGAGAGTTCCATTGTGGTGCACGTTTTGACATGTTATCTCCCATCAGTAGGAGCTCAAAAGAGCAGATTCTCCATTTTGAACAGCAGCAATGTATTTATTCTGTCACCAGTAACTCTTTCCTTAGGTGTTTGCTGCAAAGAGCCTCGGGGCCCCGCAGCCCAGTTGTGCACCAGGGGCTGTGCTCCTGCTCCTCCTCACAGGGGCCACAACTGAGGCTTAGACAGAAACCTGGGCTTCATTTGCTTTGGCTGCTTTGCTGGGCTGCCCCCACCTTGGTACTTGTTCATCCCTTCTCCTGTTTTTCAGTCTTCTAGGGGATCACCCCTTTTCTTTTTTGGGAGGGAGGGGTGAAATCAGCCCTCTAGTCAAATAAACCTTTCAACCTCCTATCTTCAAAATAAACACTTTTATTGTGGACAGTCCAAGCTCCTTAGGTAAAGCTTTAGGTCTCAAATCCAAAAGATACACTGTGTCCTTTTAATAATTTCATAGTGGAAACCCTTTATTTGCCCATTCCTGTGGTGTTATGGAGGTTTTCAATGATTCTGGTTTAGGTTTCGGGATTAGGTGAAACCAGAGTGCCTTAAACCTCTTTAGAGGTTTGGGATTAGGTCTGCATCAGGCCTAATATAGCCTTTCTGTGCAAGGCTAAATTAAATGGCAGGAATATTTGTTGTGCACTGATTCACAGGTGTTTGGCAAAATACCAGAAAACATAAAGGAACCACTGGAAGAATTGTGAAGGCAAAGCCATCGAAACATGAGTATTAGCTAAGTACTGCAGTATCGCTTGCAACTGTGGGGTCTCTC